GGACTTCATGCCAAAAAAAAGCCGGCTTGCTGTGCAAGTGCTACTCACCAAGCATGGTCCTGTGCTTGGTTGCTTTGGTTTGCCTTTGCCAGCAGCTGTCTTGCTTGTAGTTCCGCTGCGGCCTCCCTGTGCTCTTTCGCGTCTCACTAGCGTAGCCATGCCTACACCCAAAAAAAAATTGCTTCCCAGGCCATGTTGCACCACCAGTTTTGCACGTTCGAATCATGACTACGCTGCTGCGATGCTGCCCTCACATTGCCTGCTGTCAGGACCCTCTCCTCACGCTCCCTGCCGCTGGATGCCGAAGCCGAGCCTGACGCGCAGGACGCATCCAAGTTTCTGCTCGACTCGGCCCACGGCAGATTGACAGCGGCACTTACAGGCGTTTGGGGTTTTGCATTTGGGGTTTAGGGTTTAGGGTCTAGGGTTTAGGGGTGAGGGTATAGGGTTTAGGGTTTAGGGTTTAGGGTTTGGGTTTCAGGGTTGGGGTCAAGAGTTTAGGGTTTATTATGTAGTCAAGCAAGCAGTGGTGGCCTTTTCTTTTGCATTTCCCTTGCGCATAAGCTTTTCGCAGCTTCGGTGCCTGTCACAGAGGTGTGGCCCCCACCCTTGTCTCAACACATTCTTCTTGACATTCCGGTTAAGTACGATGTTGACACAGAATCTGTCGCCAGAACTGAAGAAGCCCGGGGAAGCCGGTGCACTTTTCTTAGCAGACAAAAATAGGCTCGGGCCGGTTGCCTCTTTTGCGTTGTGTGTGTGTCTGTGTTCTTGCTCTGCAAATCACGGAAGTCTGAACTTTCTTTTTAGGGTTTAGGGTTTAGGGGTTAGGAATTAAGGTTTAGAGTTTAGGGTTTAGGGTTTAGGGTTTAGGGTTTAGGGTTTAGGGTTTAGGGTTTAGGGTTTAGGGTTTAAGGGTTAGGGTTTAAGGTTTACAGTTTAGGGTTAGGGGTTTAGGGTTTCGGGTTTAGGGTTTAGGGTTAAGGGTTTAGGGTTTCGGGTTTAGGGTTTAGGGTTTAGGGTTTAGGGTTTAGCGATTTTTCTTGCCCCTTGGTGACCACGTGCCTCTTGGACTGTTGTATGTCGTCCTGCGCACAGGTGAGAAGCCAGCAGACAAGAAGCACCGAAAGAAGAAGAGGGGAAAGAAAAGCTGCTTGACTTTGTGAAGCTGTCGGAAGCTGTTTTTGGATGTCGTCACAAGTTTCTCTCTCTTGCGAGCAAACCTTCCTTTTGCACACAGGCGACTCTTCGGAGGAAGTTGCTACGTCCGAGTCCAAGGATGAGGACCAGATGATGCAGGATGCTGCCCAGGTTCTGCGGATTGGTCGCAAGGAGTTCAGGGTAGCTTGCACGAAGCTGAGTGAGCTGGCCACGAATCAGCTTGCGTTTTGCCTCTCTATGTTGCATGCTCTTCTGACGCCGGCGGACGCCCTGGAGCTAGGAGGCGAACTTGACTTTTGTCTGCACTTGGCCTGGTTTCTGCAAATTTTGTCTCCGCGTGCATTTTGTCGACACGCGCCTGTCTTTGTGTCGCGAGACTTACACTCTTCATTCTGGCAAATTCGCAAACAGATGTTGACGTTCAATCTTTGTCTTTCTTTCTGGATGCTGACAGATCCTGCCCCAGGAAGCCCTGTACACGAACAAGGCCGCGTCCAGCAAGAAGAGCAAGAACAAAACTGGCGCTGCGGAGGCAGCCTTCCAGGCCGGACTACCGTAGAGCTCATCAGATGTCTTCGGCACTGTTTTTTCTTCTTTTTGGACTGCTGTCTGGGCTTCCGGGTGGACAGAACAGAAATACAATTGAAGCAGGCCAAGGCCGCGGAGCAGGTTTGGCGTCAGAGGCTGACTACTTGCCTGGAACTCTGTGCCTAGTCTTAAAGTTTAGGCGAGCGGCCTCTGCGAGTGCACATTTGCAGCCTCATTCCAGTTCACATGGACCTCTGCACGTCCTGACTGTTCGTGCACTTTTCAACTCTACAGGCTGCAGGCCAAGGTTTCCTGTAGCATTCGTTTTCTTCCCGTCCAACATGTCTCGCTCGCTTGTGGCTGGGGTGGATGCCGTGGCTGAAAACGCAGCTCGGGAGTGGGCCAGATGGGTTGTTAAGGCGAAGATCGATCCCATGCCCCAGCTGGCTGAGGGAGACTTGGAAACGATTCGCAAGCTCGTTCTCTTTCTCTGGAGTCTGGCCCCCATGTATATGGACGAGAGAGTGCTGACCGTCACCGGTCATTTTGTCATGACGCTTCAAAGCCACTGGCTCCAGAACAGAGGCGATGAGGATCCGGTGCACTTGCGGACGATGGAGTTTCCTCATGCCTTTCTGGATGCCACCTGTCTGGACAGCACGTTGACAGCTCGGGTCAAGCGTGTGGACTCCTCCCGCATTGCTGCACGTGTGCGTTCCGGTCTCAAGGCTGTCAAACGCATGGAACACGTGGTCGACCCTTCAAATGCCGGATACACCATGCACGCCCAATACCTGGCTGGCTTCATCGCATTTGCCAAGGACGTGCTCAGTATGGCCAGAGCACACGAGGGAGATGGGGCTGCAGCCCAGGCTGCAGCCCAGGTTGTGCCAGATCCACTTGTTCCGGAGAAGCGCTCTCTGTCCTCCATGGACTGACATGCTTGGACGCATAGACAAAAAAGGAAACTCCCAGATTCTTTTTTTTCTTTCCTGCGCCCGGTTCTTGCAAACTGCTCCTTTGCCAACTGAGTCACTAGAAAGAAGTTGGCCGATGTGGTCATCGCAAACGCAACCAACTTGCCTTCCGTGGTGGCTGTGCTTCGCGGCTTGCATCAGCGTGCTCTCAAGCGCCTTGCTTTGCTTTCAGCTGCCTGTGTTTTCAGGCTGACGTGGGGCTTTGCCTTGCCCTCTCCTTCTCTTGCCAGGAAGCAAGGCAATAGCAGGCAGGACTTTGCGAGCGACCTGCAGCGGCAGGTGCAACACTTGCGAAAGGTTGGGCAGGGTTCTGTGTGCTGCATCTGTTCCGGGAATCTTGCCTTGTCTTGCATTTTGCTCGTATGCTGACAGGAAGCTCAGACGGACCTGAAGCAGAGAACGCAGGACGACAAACAAGGTTTTCCTCCCGAGCCTAGGCGCAAGCGCAGGTCTGGCGCTGCCAATGTTTCCCCCGCTCAGAAGAGGAAGAAGGAAAGCCCTGGCCCAGTCAAGTCCAGTCCCACAGGTGTGACGCTTCTGCGCAAGGCTCCCACGCAGTGGAGTTTGCTCACTGCGCGAGAGGACCAAGAGGAAGAAGAGTGCGAACACGACTCAATCGCAGAGGCGGACGGTGATGTGCCCTCTGACGACGACGACATGTATGGCCCTGGCTTCGGTGGGAAGACGAAGAAAGACGCCCAGGATGAGGACTCTGTGGTTAAAGACAAGCCAGACCCGTCCAACGAAAGTGACGCCGATGACGACGATTGCTTGGAGAAGGATGTGGCACGGGAGAGGGACAGATCGGCTCAGGCGCTCTTGAAGAAAATGGAGCCTGACCTGGTGCACAGCCTGCCGGCTAGCTCCCAGCCCATTGCATGCACGCGTCTGTTTGCGGAATTCTTGTCGTTTTGCAGTGACTGGTCAGGTTGAGGGGGTAAGGGTTTCCTGTTGAGAGTTTTAGGGTGAGGGTTTACAGGCTGTTGCTGTAGACTCAGGAACGATCTCGTGCCCTTTCTGCTCATTTTGGACGCCGAGGGTGTCTACACGTTGGCAGACGCTGTCGATGTTTTTGGCGACTCAGGCAGGCGCACGGGCTTTTTGTGGAGTGCCCTCTTTTTTGTCCTCCCTTGAGGAGATCTGCCGGCCGAGTTCGGGGAGACTGCAAAAGCGGCCTTTGCTCGATTGACAATGAAGGGGAAGAGGCAGATCAAAGAGTGGCCGCAGGCTGTGCGTGAAGCCGCGCAGCGTCGCCAGGCACACGATTGTTCCTCATGTTGCTTCTATATATGGACGTGAGATCCGCGTCAGTCTCTCAATGCCTTCTCTCTAGGACGGCACAAGTGTCAAAGATTCCAAGGCACATTCCTTTTCAGTCATAAGTTTTGCAGTACCTTTCTTATGCCAATTCAACATGCCAGCACTCTTGCAGAGGCAGCTCTGAAGACGCCCGAGAAGCCTCGCTCTACCATGCGTACGCCGCAGGGCTCATGAACGACCGCTACTTTTGCTGGCAACGTCTGACAAGAAGCGACAGGGTCACAGGAGAAAGGCATGTGTGTGTGTGTGTCTTTGTGTACGGTCACGTACGCAGAGAGCACCGTCCGATTCAAGAGGTCTGTCATGATCTGTGTCTCTCTGACAGCCATTCAAGGCCGAGGCACAGCAGTGCTGAGTAACAGCGGGCTCTCTCACGAAGCAAGAGCAGCAAGTCAAGGACTTCTCATTGTCTGCCCTCCCGTGCTTAGTTTCACCTCCTGACCCCAGCAAGACCATGACCGAAGCTGCAGCGCTGCAGCCCGCGCCCAACCTGCAGGCCGGAAGGGTCCAGGCGTGGTGGCACCTTAAACCCTAAACCCTAAAGCCTAAACTCTAAACCCTAAATCCTAAACCCTAAACCCTTAACCGCAAACCCACTAAAAAGAGGGACAGGAGGCACCCTACGGGGGGGGGGACGGGAAAGAGGAATGGGAAGGAAGGGGGGGGGGGAGGAGGAGGAGGGGACGGATTAGAGGCAATCGAGCGGGGGGGGGGTACGAAGACTAGTTTCAATTCTAAGCCTTTTCCCTCCTGTTTTTTTAATTCCTGCGTGCTGGCTCGGCACCTTAAACCCTAAACCCTAAATCCTAAACCCTAAACCCTAAACCCTTGACCGCAAACCCTTAACTCTGAACCTTAAGCCACTAGAAGAGGGACAGGAGGCACCCTACGGGGGGGGGGGGGGGACGGGTACGGAAAGAGGAATGGGAGGAAGGGGTGGGTGGGGGGGAGGAGGAGGGGCACGATTAGAGAGGCATCGAGCCGGGGGTTACGAAGACTAGTTTCAATTCTAAGCCTTTTCCCTCCTGTTTTTGTTAATTCCTGAGCGCTGGCTCGGCACCTTAAACCCTAAACCCTAAATCCGAAACCCTAAACCCTTGACCGCGAACCCTAAACTCTGAACCCTAAGCCACTAAACAGAGGGACAGGAGGCACCCTACGGGGGGGGGGGGGGGGGGGGGGACGGGAAAAAGAGGAATGGGAAGGAAGGGTGGGGGGGGGGGGGAGAGGAGGAGGGACGGATTAGAGGCAATCGAGCCGGGGGGGGTACGAAGACTCGTTTCAATTCTAAGCCTTTTCCCTCCTGTTTTTGTTAATTCCTGCGTGCTGGATCGGCACCTTAAACCCTAAACCCTAAACCCTAAACCTTAAACCCTTGACCGCAAACCCTAAACTCTGAACCCTAGGGCCACTAAAAAGAGGGACAGGAGGCACCCTACAGGGGGGGACGGGAAAGAGGAATGGGAAGGAAGGGGGGGGGGGGGAGGAGGAGGGGACGGATTAGAGGCAATCGAGGGGGGGGAGGCGAAGACTAGTTTCAATTCTAAGCCTTGTCCCTCCTGTTTTTGTTAATTCCTGCGTGCTGGCTCGGCCGTCTGCCTTAGGTTTTCGTGCTCGCCGGATGTGTGCGTGCACTCCTGCGTGCCTGCTAGATTCCTCGCGCAGCGTGCGTGCTTGCTCCGCTGTCTCCGTGCTCTCTGCGCATCAACGTTCTTTGTGAGCCTGGCAGGCCGGGCACCCGAACTTCGGGTGCCCGGCCTTAACGCGTTCAGCAGGAATGCTGTTATGCAATCTTAACACGACGCTGCTTAGATTGCTGGCTGGTCATGCGTGAAGTTAACTTTGCGTGCTCGCTCGTTTTGCAACTTCGCGTGCTCGCTCACGGGTCCCCGACTTTCCGGTGACGTTCCAACCGCGTACCTGAGTTTCGGGGCCGGTGCTTTCCGGGGGATGGCGTGGTAGCAGGCAAAGGCACACGGGCCGGGCACTCTGATGCAGCTGGCTTCGGGCCCGCTTCGACGAGATCAGCCAGTCTCCTGGCTGCATTTAAGCGTGCTCGCCGAATGCTCTGCGTGCTTTCCGACCAATGCATGTTCTTGCTGCTGTCCTGCGCCTGTGTGGTGCTGCTGGAACTGCAGGGCTACGACGGACGAGCTCCAAACGTCTCTCAAACAACGTTTTCTGCAGAAGCTGGTCCTGCTGGAGTCACGCCTCTGCAGGGGCCCCACACGTTTGTCGGAAGGATCCACTTTGCTGGACCCTTTGAGATGGGAGGACCTCTGCTGTGCATGCTGTCTCTGTTAGGTCCTGCTCATCGTCCGTCCTTTAGCTTTCCTTTGTGGCTTTTCCCCCTTCCACTCCACATGCCGCGGTGAAGGACGCCGTGGACAGAATCAGGCCAGAGGCGGCCAGACTGGGTTTGCGCTTGAGGCCCGCTTGGATGAGACCAGCCTCCTCAACGCCACTGGACTCGGAGCCCAGCTCTCCTGGTGCTATGTCCAGTGCCTCTCCTGCGCAGACGAGAGACAGAGAGGCAGAGCAGCTCGATGTGGGTTTTCTTCGGTTGACCAAGATCGTCAGCGGTGTCTGGGAGATCGCCAAGGCTAGGCCTGCCTTCTAAACCGACTACCCTCCGCCCTAATTCACTGTGCATCCCACACCCTATACCCTAAACTTGACAAACACTAAGCCCATGAGTGTTTCATTGTAAAATCGGATTTTGCAGACTACACTG